GTTGCACACAGTACAGTCCAGAAATTTATCCAGCTCTTTGAAAATGGTCATAGCCCATCATCAGCTCTAGATACCCACAAGCATGACATACAATGTGAGCACAAAGACCGTTATGTGTATGTTGCAGCCGACCGTGCTCTTGTACCAGATTTCCAATGGTGTTATAGGTACGTAAAGCAGGAAATTGATTTCTCTTTAACTCCATATTTTCAAAATGTACATAAAAAAAAACACACATAACTTACTATATTTTCATTACTACATTCGTAACTGTTTTGGTCCATTCTGTTACATTTATCTTAATTAAAGCTTTAAAATGCAATGTGTATTATGTTGTTTAACCAGTTTATACAATATTCATTATGCTGACATTCAGTAGCGCTCTGGAATGAAACCATTTTTTTAAAATAAATAATGAAATTCAATTTTAATGTACAGTATATTAAAAATTGTTAATCCTATATTTGTAAAAATCTTTATAAATTATTGAATTTTTGATAGTTTTAATACTTAATCTGTTGGTTTTCAATAATTTTTCTATGCCTCGCCTGCCTCTGCTTTTGCATTCCTCTATAATTTAATAATTTTTTCCTTTGATTGCCAATAAAGATATTTTTAATTTTTAATTGAATAAACCAATATTCCAATTAACACAGGTTAAAATATTAGAAAGTACCAAAAACATTAAACATAAGGTAATAAAGAAAATAGACCTAACTATACTGTACTGTAAATACAATCACTTCATTGTAACCTGCCATCCACTTTACATTGTTGTTGATTTTTTTTGTATCTTTCAGGCTGTACTATAAAACATTCAATGAAGCCTATGGAAGTAAAGGTGGGGAACAGTTGCTAACTGATTTGAATGTATGGGTAGAAAAACACAATGAAGAAAAACAACAACCTGAAATTAAAATTAAAACCACAGATGACAGCCAACTTGCTGTAGCCATATTTTCCCCATTGATGCAGAGAGTTTCCCAAGAATTTGAGCAGAGTGCAGAAATGCTGTTTGTGGACTCATCTGGGAATATGGATCGACACAACTGCCGAGTGTTTTTAATGATGACACATACTTGTGTTGGTGGATTGCCTGTCGGTTGTCTAATAACAACAAGTGAAACAGCATCAACAGTGTTAGATACACTTGAGCTATACAAGTCTTTAATTTGTGAGAATTCTTTTAAGGGTCGAGGACAGCGAGGACCTATGATCATCATGACCGACGATTGTGAGGCAGAGAGGATGGCTTTGGCTAACGCTTTTCCAGAAGCTAACATCATTTTATGTTGTTTTCATGTTCTACAAGCCCTGTGGAGGTGGCTGTGGATGGGCAAGAATGGAATTGCTTCCACTGACAGGCAACATCTGTTCTTTTTAGTGAAGTCAATGGTGTATGCCGATACTGTTGAAAATCTTGATCACTGCTTTCAAGAAGCAACAGCATATCCCAAAATCCACAAATACCCAAACTTCTTAAAGCATGTTAACAAGATATATGACAGACGTGAAGAATGGGCTACCTGCTACCGAGCAAACATTCCAGTTCGTGGAAACAACACCAACAATTTTTGTGAGGCAGCCATGAGAGTGCTAAAGGACAAAGTCCTGATACGTACAAAGGCATTCAACATCTTACAATTATTGGATTTCATTTTCACCAGGTTAGAAACTTACTATGAGCGGAAGATCATCGACATAGCCAACAACCGTCTGGATGTTGTTAAGATGTCTCGTTTCATGCCAACTGACCCTAAAATTGAAAAAATTATTCAGATAAGCGACTCGGAGTTTCTAGTATCAAGTGAGACAAACCAAGATCAGACATATACAGTTAATATTACTGTATCAATGTGTACTTGCCATGTTGGGTGCAGAGGAGCACCATGCAAACACCAAGCAGCTGTGGTTAAGAGGTACAACATACCATCCTGCAACTTCCTACCAATAAGACATCCACAAAAAAGACAGCAATTGCATTATGTGGCAACTGGCCAACATCTACAGCTATCCTGGTTTGCTACATTGAGTGATGTACCAGAAGAAGACAGAGATGCAGCCTGCTTGGAAGCGACCGAAGAATGTATTCTTGATGCTAGTGTAGAGGAAGTGAGCAGTGCTAGGGAAGAGAGCAGAAGTGCTAGTGTAGAAGAAATTATTGATGAGAGTACTCAGCATGCTGCATTATTAGATGAATATCATTCTGTTTGCCAGGATATTGAATCTACAATAAGGTTACGATTACAAACAGATGCTACATTTATTCCTGCTGTACAGGCCTTCATTGATGGTGCTAAACAACTGAAAAATGACTCATCATTGCTTTCAGCATTATCCACCTTTGGTAGATACTCCGGTCACAAAGTCAGAAATGGGAAGCGAAACCAGTTGGCCGGTTTAAAGAGAATTGGCGTTCAACCCACGGCAGTGGCAAGAAGAAAAAAGTTGCATGTCGGAGGTAGGAAGTGTGATCAACGTGGAAGGCCTTTTGCAAGTAGCAGACATGTTACAAGCAAGGCTTCATTATTGCCTTCTGTCCTGCCTAAGAAAACACAAAGACCAGCTCCACATAACATGAAAGTGTGTGCAAAAAACACTGGTTTAGGAAAGACACATGGCAAGAAATAAACTCTATAATGATGATCAAATTTACATCAAAACGCGTTATATATATATATATATATATATTTTTTTTTTTTTCAAATTCAAAGCCCCAACGCAACTTTGTTTTACAAACTTTGATTTTGCTTTTTCGAGAAATGACTTAGTATTACACTACTGTAAATATAACATAAGCCAGTGATCACCCATTTATCTGTGAACATTTAGGATTCTTCTGAAGGGTGCAGTAGTATTGTCAGGCACACAGATTTGTCATTTTCCCACACAGAAGCATTGTCTTAATTAGTTTTAAATTCTATAGACTGATGAAAATGTGTGCTTTGTGTCATCAGTCTTATTCACAGCATACTATAGTATCCACTGAACAGTTTGCCTTGCTAAATTTCAGTTACATGTTGCATAGATAGTTAAATTATTGCTATATTACTCTACTCATATGTTGAATAATGAATTACATAATTAACATTATTAGCTAAAAAAGGCGAAAAAAGAAAATCAAAAAGTCATTAAGTACAATTTAAGAGGAAAATAGAATTTAAATTCCAGAAATATTTGTAAATTACAAACCTAGTAATAATTTATTATTTACAGTCAATATAAAACTTCAATTAGTAAAACTTTGTTAAAATTTATTTACAGTTGATTAATCTAAAATTCAAATAATGAAAATATAAAGGAACAAAGAAAATTAGTAATCAAAGGCCAATTTAAACAGTTCTAAGATTTATTTTTTATTTATTTATTTATTTTTATTTTATTTATTTATTTACAGTCAATATAAAACTTCAATTAGTAAAACTTTGTTAGAATTTATTTACAGTTGATTAATCTAAAATTCAAATAATGAAAATATACAAAATACATAAAGGAACAAAGAAAATTCGTAATCAAAGGCCAATTCAAACAGTTCTAAGATTTATTTTTTATTTATTTTTATTTTATTTATTTATTTACAGTCAATATAAAACTTCAATTAGTAAAACTTTGTTAAAATTTATTTACAGTTGATTAATCTAAAATTCAAATAATGAAAATATTCAAAATACATAAAGGAACAAAGAAAATTAGTAATCAAAGGCCAATTCAAACAGTTCTAAGATTTATTTTTTATTTATTTATTTATTTTTATTTATTTATTTATTTATTTTTTGTTTTTTTTCTTTTTTTTTTGCAAAATGCATAGTCTATTTTTATGTAGCTCAAATATCCGTCAAATAACGCTTCTACAGAGCACTTTGCAAGAAAATTCAATTACTACTACAGTAGACGTACCAACTATGCAAATTAGTGGAAGTCATTTCGTAAATAAAACGACCTTCTGGTATTCTAACCTTTGGTCCTGTCTATTTTTTTTTTCACTTGCAATAGGCCTACATATACCGAGGAGCTCAAAATACTGTATAATTTTTCTACAGAGCACTTTGCCAGAAAATTCAAATACTACTACTAAGGTATATAAGATGCCTATCCAATATCATATAATGAATGTCTGCAATAATTAGGCCAACAATATGATAATGATTATGACGTAGGTCTATCATAGCGTATGTAAAACAATCTTTGGTAACCAGTGCTGAACCTATAGTTGCCAAGTTAGGCATAAATGATTGCTTTTAATATCCCACACTGTAGTTAGTAAGCCAGAGCTCTTGTTTAAATTTAATAACGCAGCCTATTCCCTCGTTAGGCCTAACTGATTGCTTTTAATAAATAACCCACCCTATGTAGTAGGAAACCATGCTGTTAATAATTTCAATAACCCACCCTTGTCATGACTCAGAGCTCCCTTGTAAACACGCGAGAGGAATGTTTAGCCATTGTTAGCAGCAAAGGAAGCGAGTCTCACTGCTGATTAATTATTCAATAGTTATCTGACGTCATTTTAGGCTTCCTACATTCTGATTGGCTAAAAGAAACATATATTTGCTTATGTGTACTGCAGAAAAAAAATACGCTCCCCGGACATCGGAGAAGTGGAATCGTCGAAGCGGTAAGCTACTCGACAAAAAGCCATTCCCGCGGGTTCCACCTCTCGTCGACCGGAGATGCATCCTTCGACGCCCGGTAATCCGTTTACGGTTCCAGTGACGAAGTCGCCACCAAGATTTAGATGGGTGGAGGGACCGTCCAGCTTCGTCTCCCTCCGGCCGCCGTTCGTCGTGACGGACACGGAGGCGTTCGAGATCTCTATCTTCAGTCGGTTCCAACGGTGGACGTGCAGACGATTCGGACTGTAGTACTGCATTGTTCCGGAACCGGTGTTCAGGTCGACGCTCGCGTAGCCGCCCCACAGCGAGATTGTGATGTGGTCGACGTCTCCGGAAGCGGTGATCACGTGACGACAGATCTCGAACGTC